TTTCTCTGATCTTGGCCACCAAAGTTGCCTCTAGCCAGCGACTTTGAGATTAAGATTTCAAAGACTGAAATTCATGGACAGAAGATGACTTTTAGAGAGAAGTTTATCCATAAGTTGGAGCTTAAGAAGGAGAGAAAGTGGAAGAGAGAGAGAATGAGTGATGACAGAGCTCTTATGTAGAAAACAGGGGCGGTTCCAGGAAAGAGGGTACTATCCAACTATATGAGGGCTTCTTGAAAAGACTTATGGCAGAAACTGAAACTGGGGTAAGGTATGGAAGGGACATGATTTGGTTTATCCAAATGTTTCAACCAGGTGTCAATGTGCCTTCTTTCTGTTTCCATCATTTAGTCAGATATAGCCTTTAGGCAGATGTGTTCAATAAGAAAGTAACAGGGAAACAGAACTGGAACCCTGTCCTGGCACTGCTGCCTCCTGTAAGGGCATCCTCTGTCCTCTTGTCTTGTGGTCCTGCCCTCCTGGAACAGTTTCTAGCTCTTGTACTCACCGTGAGACATTCCTGGGATGCGGAACACCCATCCTACCCTTTCCATCTACTCTCTCTCTCTCTTTCCTCCGTCCTGCTGTCCTCTGGATGTTTCCTGCTCTATGATGAGAGTCCAGCTCCAGCTTCCCCTGCTTAGTTTGTCAGGGAAGGATGAGTTTAAAACCTTATCCACTCCCAGTTAATCATATCTCTAAAGTCTTCCTAAGGAAGGTGAAATATCATGGTGTGCTTCAGAAATAACAATGTAGAAGTCTTTGGAGGCACAGCATGTTTGCAAAGGGGACTGCTGGCCAAATTTCCGACTCCAATGTCTGCTTCTCCCCATCAACCAAGCACTCACTCTGGCTGAGGAGCAATTATCTATTTCACTTTTTTTTATCTGAAGAATGTCTCCTCTGCATTGTTATGGAGAATGGATAAATGAGACAGATAGATGGGGGCAGGTATGAGCAGATGACAGGAGTTGGCTGCTGAGTTACCTTTGTGATCCATCTCTGCAGACGCCTGTGTTAATTCCATGGAGACTCGGCAAGACTGATACACAGTAGTGACAGTTTGGACATCTCAACATGACCTTGAATGTGCCCCAAACCACAGCTGAAACTATGCCAACTTTTCAGTGTAGTATATCACAGGGGCTACATAACTGGGCTGGAAATTGGCTGCATTTGAAGTGTTAGCTTTTTTGCTGAGGAACCTCTCTGGCCCTGTAAAGCAATATGGTATGATCATAAAGCTTCTTCTTCAGTCCATATTGGATAATTAGACCTCCAGGGGTAGGTATCCCAGGATGTCCCTCTGGTACTACCTCTGAAGGCTGGGAGAAGCCTGAGCACTGGGTATCATCAACTTTTCCCAGGGCCTGCGTCTGCTGGTCAGCATTTCCTGCACCTTGGACTTTTAACTGCTATCTGCTTTAATTTCAGCCACTCAGAGAAAAAGTCACTATGAACCTGCTTCTGGCTTCCCAGAACACATTGGTTACAAGAAAGTTTTCTCTGGGAAAGTAATAGAAAATTGTTTCTGACAAGAGTCATTTCCTAGCACCCATCCACTGGGTTGTTCTCATTTCACCAGAAACCAGATCTTTGAATTAGTGGTTCTCACAGTGTGATCTCCAGACTATCACTCTCCACTGTGGGCACCCTCTGGGTTACAACAAAATACAGTGTCTCAACTCAGTCTCCAGCTCAGCACCACCCATCTATCTCTGCTGTATGCTATCAGCCAGGCTATTCAGATGCAAACTGAATCTAAGAACCTGGAACTTAGATGTGTTTGTTTGAGGTCCCATGAGGACATTAAGGAACATCAAAGGTGAAAAGTAGAACAAATGTTAATATAACTTCGATTTCCTTATATAGATGTTTCTTAGGCTCAGATAATTTGATCTGTTGGTTTGCAACAATACATTAATGCATTCACGTTTTTGAGATGCTAACAGTTCCTGGAGTAGGCTTGCACAATACTTAGCAAGTAGAGATATGTGTTCAGCAAGCATTGGTCATGAGTGTGAGCTTCTGGTAACCTGTTTGACCCCAAGCAAAGTTCAGAATAGGTTCTGCCCTTAAAGTCATTACTGTAAAAGTTGTTTTTAGTATAGTAAGCTGTGGAATGAATTGTACTTCGGGGGCTCAAAGCAGCATGGTTTCAGAGCCAGGCTTCAGTCAATGCAGCCCAAGATGAAGACCATTGTCCTGTGATTTGAAAGGAAGAGACCACCATCAGGAGTTTCCTTTGTCAAGGATCTCCCACTCTGTCTTGGACTCTCACAGTTTGCTCTGGATGTTTTCCTTGAAGCCAAAAGGGAGGCATGGAATATAGTTCAGACCAGGCTAAGCATCACATGCAATCATGTTACCTGGAGATCTTATTAAAATACAGCTTCTGATTCACTGCCTCTGATGTTGGGCTTTGGATTTTGCACTTCTAACAAGTTCCCAGGTGATGGTGATGCTGTTTGTGATGTAGAAGCTGCTTGCTTGCCAGCCACATATTAGCAGGCTTCACGAACGTTAATATGTACACAATTCACCTCCAGATGAAATCACCTCAAAGGGTGAACCCAGGTTCTAGGTGAATGCCTTCACCTGGGAACCCAGCAATGAAACAGAACCCTAAGTCAGGCACGATGAAACAGGCCTGAAATCTTAGCACTCTGGGGGCTGAAGCAGAAGAACAGAGTTTGAGAGTAGTAGCCTAGGTAACAAATAGAGATGAGAGAGTGAGAGATGAGAGTGTTTGTGTATGTCTTAGGCTCACCCTCTGCTGTACCAGATCAGAACCTATTTCTCAGTAACCTCCCATCACAGATTACAATTAAAGTTTGAGGATCAGTAGAGCTGACTTCATGACTATTGATTTGCAAACCCACATTTGGTTTGGTGCCCCACTCTTACCATCTGAAACTTCTCACTGATAGAGGTTTTTGTCTTTTCATTTGGTCTCAGGCTCCATAAATTATATAGGTGGTCCTGGGTACCACTATTCTGAATCAGTAACTTTCAAACTCCAACTGAGCTCTTGATATAACTTGATATTTCTGGCTTCTCAAAGACTTAATCAATAATATAAGCAATTGTGGAGCTTATAGACCTTTCATGTGTTTCTGATATAAGTGGCACATGCCCCTGTTTTGAACTAGTACCCTGACATCTCACTAGTTGGTTCTTCTATCACTTTCATGGCATATGTCAGCATCACACCCTCCATTTCTCCAGAATTGCCAGAAAAATCCCTAAGTGCTGCAAACCTGCTAGACCCTAAAACAAGAGTGCTTCTTACTGGGCAGATTCCCCCATAGGAGCTTTCTGCAATATGTCCACCTGCGCCTGAGTAACCTATAGCCGTTGTCAGGAAGCAGGAAGTGGAGGAACTCACTGTCAGTGCTTGGTTTTTGTTTTGTTTTGTTTTAATGGTAACTTTTAGGATTCAACAGAAGCAAAGCCACTTTGGGTTGGCTTTTTGACACTGTGAAAAAATACCCTAGTGAAACAATGTGTAGAAGGCCAGGCTTATTAAGGCTCATGGTGTGAGTCCTTCACATTTAGTGAGGTGGGAGCCTGGAGCAGAGTAGTTCACCTCTTAGCAGCAAGCATAAGAGAAAGAGCATGTCTCTTGGCACCCCTTGAAATGGTGAACCCCAATTTCTTTCTTCCCCAGTCCTTTCAAAGATAAAACCATGTTTATGCTTTATTGCTTTCCTAGAATTTCTGAAGCCAATGAAGTTGGCAATCAAAGTAAACCATGATACCTGCCCATTAAAAAGGTCACCTTTGCACATTGTGAAGTACACACAGTACACAAAATGAGACATTAAAGTGGGGGACTGTCTTCAGTGCTTTCTCTTTCACTGCGAAAGACCCAGGCAGGTTGGAACAGAACAGTTCTGGTCTTTGGAACAAGAAATGAATTTGAGCCACTTCCTCAAAGATTTGTTGCAGGAAACAATTGAGACAGTGTGAATGTGAATGTACTTTATATGCTAAAAGAGTGCAGAAATTTGAGACATCATTATAAAGACCATGCACCACAGCTATTCCCAGCATTACAGAAAGGAGCTAGACACTGTATTTGTGAATTTAACCTTAGGCCATAGGACATACTTGGTGTAACAAGAGAGTGAAATGATTACAGACAGAAAGATATGATGAAGACTTGGTGAGAGTTACTGGGCGGTTTCAAAGTGCAGAAGAGAAAAGGAAGCTTCCACAACTTGAGAACTCCAGATGCAAAAATAAAAAGAAAGGGAATCTATTTTTATATGTGCAAACAGTCTTGAGATTTTAGAAAATGTCTTTAGTCTAGCAATAATTGAACATTTCTGCCCTGGATATAATGAAGATAAACAGCAATAGTGGTGGTCCCTATTTAGTTTTGACTTCAGAAGCCTTCTGTTAGAATTTGCTATATTGAGATGAGTGGAAGGATGGTTTGTAGTTAAAGCTGGGTTTCTGAACCAGCACATATTAACCGTGAATTGGAAAAACATTTAGCATCCTTGTGCCTGAATTCTTTTTCCAATAAAATACACCCCGCAGGGCTGTTGCAAGTATTGAACAGTTTAGCACATCCCAAACAGCCAGCCAGCGACAATGGGAATTATCATTGTCCACATCATGAGGATCCTAGGGCTGAGCTAGGAGGGCTAGTAGTGTCTTAACATTCTAGATATTCTGAGTATGTAAGATGCCTTGGCTTTGCACTTAGAGGCTATTTGAAATGGTCATTTCCTCCTCTGGCTTTAGAGGCACTAAACTCCTCAGGATCTAGAAAACCCAAACAGTAGATGTTCTAAAGCCATAATCATACAAGTGCCCTACTGGTGAGTTCTGGAACATTCTACCCATGGCAAAGCAAACACAGGGAATGCATGTCTGTCCACTGGGTATAAAGGGGAAAGACAAGGCATGCTGAGGCATGCTAGCCTGCCTCTTACAACCTCTTCTTTCTCTCTGGTCCTTTTACTTATCTGCCTGGTTTTGTCTTTCAGGTGTACAATTGACAACCGAGTCACCCGGGTGGCCTGGCTAAACCGCAGTACCATCCTCTATGCTGGAAATGACAAGTGGTGCCTAGATCCTCGTGTGGTCCTCCTGAGTAACACCCAGACCCAGTACAGCATTGAGATCCAGAATGTGGATGTGTATGACGAGGGTCCTTATACCTGTTCAGTGCAGACAGACAACCACCCTAAGACCTCCAGGGTCCATCTCATTGTACAAGGTGGGTAGAGTTTGGCTGGGAGGCCTCAATGTGTAGATGGGAATGTCTTTCATGATCTTAAACCAAGATGATACTTCCTGTTCTCCCCATTAAGGACACTTTTCTAGACATGCCCAACACCCACCCAGTGGCAATGGGAGTTATCACTGAACTTTCCAACAATTGGCTTGTTGAGATGAACTAGTTTTTCTTGTATTCCAATAATATTTTTATACAAAATTATCTTCTAATTATTGCTTTCCTTGGCTTTTCTTCCTCTTAGCATTTTTAAAATGTTGCACCCAAGTACAAGTTTGCTTTATTTTAAGACTAGAATTTTAATGTTCTTCTGTTTCGGTACATATGCCATGCCCTAGACCAGCCTTCAATAACAGAAGAGCCAAGATGCAGTGATCTTACTTCAACCCAGAAGCTTACCTCAACCACCCCCTGACACACACACATACACACACACACACACACACACACACACACACACACACACACTGGTGTAATGTACTTGCTTCTTTTTTCATCCAACCCAAGATTTGTTCCCCCATGCCTGTGCTATCTATGAGACTGGATTCAGGGTCCCTACTTAGCTGGTCTTCTGTTTTCTTTTGTTTGTTTGTTTGTTTTGGCTTCTGTTTTCTTCTTCTTTGCACTTTGTAGTTTTATGGTTTGCTGGGGAGTTTGTTGGTGTCTGAGTGCATTTTGTGGTATCTCTCTGGGTTCTACTCCCTCTGTTTCTCACATCATGGGGCTGATGTTAGTCTTCTCAAATCAGAACTGGTCCTTGGGCAGCAAACTACACTTAACAAATAGATGGGTTTCTAGTTACTGAGCAAGTTTGGAGCCGCATTGTCTGCTGTCTGATGGATAGGCCTAAAACAAGTATTACTGCACCCCAGGGGCCTCTTCTTGTGAAACAGGGTGAATGTGAGGAGTGGGGTTGGGTTTACATTTTACACACAGATAAACTAAAGCCCTTGTGAGAATGCCTAACCCATGGAGGTGTATGTACCTGGTAGTCACTATTGAATGCTCCCTTTGTTTTTTTTAAAAACACTACTGATATTTTAAAACATTTAGTCACATTTTATAGTAGGTTAAACACTTTGGTTTTTGCTCTCTCGGAACTGAAGATCCTGGGAAGTGAAATCCTAGGCTGGAGGATTTTTTTTCCTCTCCCACACCCTGCACCCCAGCCTGATCCCTGTCTCTTTTCATCCAGCTAAATTGCAGGAGCCAGGCAAAGCAATGATGTCCCTCTTGCAGCCTGCCTTCCTGGCAGTATGCTTGAGAGTAGGATGAAAATCTGGAGTGACTGGTGAGAAAGAAAAGATGAAGAAGGACTGAGAAGGACAAATTAAAGGAATGAGGGGAAGTCTCAGTGAGAAGATGAAGAAAGCACACTGGGATCATGTATCAGAACTGGGAGAAGCAGGAGAGGGCCAGCAGCCATGAGAGGAGAACAGGTTAGGATAAGGGGACATTTGGGTGCAGGTTACTTACAGGTGAGGGCAGCAGTACACTAGAAGCTATCAGGCTGTGGCAGAGTATGGTCACATCAGGGTTTTATTGTTTTTTTTTTAAACAAAGGAAATTATGATGTTTTATTTCTTTTATAGGTTATATAAATGAGTATTTTTTTTTCAAACAGCTTTGTGCAAATAGCATTTTAAAATAGAATTGGATAGCCGGTGTTTGAGTGTATTATAAATAGCAGACTAGGTACTGCTATGTGAGGTTTTGTTTGAGCATGTATACATTTTAAACATGTAATAGATTTTCCTAGTAGATAGATAGACAAAATAAAAATTAAGAGTCACAATTCTGTGGGGAGCTTTGGTGAATGCTCCAGGCAAGCCACTGGTGATCTTTACTAGGCAGTACTTCTGAAGCTCTTCCTCTGGCAGAGTGTCTTGCAATGACCAGTAAAGGCTAGGAGCATTGAGTGGAGGTTTGCTGCAGAGAGCGGCACCATTGTAGAATGAGAAAAGGGATGAAATGGAAAATTCTAACCCCTCTTAGAAAATGAGAAACCAGGTCTGGGTCAGTGTTGTTTTCCTATGCATCTCCTTGCACACACACCCATTCATGTCTGCCCTAAATAGTAGACTGGTTTTTGAACATTGGCATTTAATGGATACTTACTGAAGTCAATATCTGAAATTATAGTCCAAAGATCTTACAATGGCCCTAAGAAAGAAGGCTGACTACTTGGAAGGTGGGGCAACAGAAGGAAAGGAGGGGATACAGTCCACAGCCATCTTCACCCACGTCCAAGCTAATGGAAAATGTTTAATCTATAGCCAGGTGTTTACATTTGTGACTTGGCTAGGTGCCCTCTTCCCATGACACACCATCTCGAGTATTGGAATCTCATCTTGGGCTAATTTTCGAATGCTGATGGGTGTATTGATCTGGAAACAAGCTGGGTTAAAAAAAGGCATTGGTCTTGTACACAGACTCAGCCCAAGCTAATCCGCTGTCAATATGCCTGGGCTGAGTATTATTGACACATTAATGAATAGAGGACCATGGTTTTTCCAGAGTCAACCTGTCCTGTTCTTCAAAGCAATCAGACAAACTAAATAGAGCCAGACTCTGTATTGGAAAGAGGATGTACTACCATGCAGGATTAAAAAAAGAAATATATTTATCTTGGGATCATTTATTATACTGAACAGAGACCCTAATTCCCTTAGCAGAAGCTGACAGTCTGAATTTAAGTTGCTTTTCAACCAAACTCTGCTGGAATGCAAGTCATGCACATCAAGTTCTCCAAATGGTATTGTAATCATTTAAAAACAGAAATACAAACATCAGTAATAACAAGAAAACAAACATAGTATTGTGCCCACCTGGACTTACAAGCTGCATAGCTAGCATCATGTATATGTACCCCACACAGAGCTATGTGGGGAGGGGGAAATGACACTGCCACTACCTCTTGCAATCTGTCTGAAGTCCAAGATTATTTGCAGCATCCTGACTGCCAAGCATCCCACCCAGTCCATTAGTTTTTTTTTTTTATATTAGATCTTTCTTTACAGTTGTAATTCAAAATGATCGACTCTTAAACATAATCAAGACATCACAACTTCATTTGCCCAAGAAGTAGACATAAACTCATTCCTTCCTTCTGTCAATAATTACTTTCTGAGAAACATTGCTAACAGTGTGTTCCCATGACTTGGATGGGATAAGGATGAACACAATGCTGCCCTTCAAGATCAAGTTCACTTCTGTGTGGGGAGATAGAATGGTGTGTCACTTTTCCAAATCATCTCCAAGAATCTGTGTGAGTACAGATGCTGTGGCCTGAATCTCTACTCCTTAAGCTTTATTTCTGTTTTATTTAATTTGTTTTATAGATGGCTTTGTGATTTCATAGGTTCTCCTAAACTCTCTTCATCTCCTCATGATGATATGAAAATGTGGTTTCTAGAACAGGACTGGTGAGTTACCTTGAATGTGGACAGGGTTCCATTTGGGCTGGGTTGGGCTTTATAGCCTTCACTCAATTGAAGACAACAGGCAGAAAAGGAGTTGGAGGAGCAGCTATCATTGTGAGTTCCAATGAGAGGAATGGTGAATGGAGAAATCCATTGGCCTGTCAGTGGGAACCCTAGGATGAAATAGAGGCACTGAATTCATCCTCAGGGACAGGGATGGCTAGCTTGAGAAAGAGAAGACAGGTGCTCAAGGATCCAGGCTGCAGGTGGCACCCAGACAATTATATGGGCCAAGTCTCTTTGGCAAGGATGGGAAAAAACCATCCCTGAGAGAACAGCTTTTGGAGTTGTGTTGAAGGCAGGTAGAAGAGACTGTATCAGGAAAGGTGAACTGAGGAGAGGCTGTGTTAACTAGCAACTCACTAGGGTGACAATTTAAAATAGCAGAAATAAAACTAAGACTTCTGCAGTCATAGGAACCATCTTTTCTAATACAGTAGATGATGCAGACACAGAGCATGGACCTGAGCTTTCATCACAGGGAGCATTACTGATCAGTGCTACCAGTAGTTACCAGTATGGTGATGCTGTTTCCCTGTCATGAAGGACCGGGCATGGTATGGGAACAGGTTTTGGAGAGAGATGGAAATAAGAAAAGATGGTATTCTTTTTAAAAACAGAAGTTGCTGGATAGAAGACTGGGGTTCTTTCTCAGCTCAGGCAGAGAAGAAAGCTAGACTCCAAAGGTGTTATCCAGAATGTGGAGATTAAGAAGTGCCACTCAAGGATTTGCATAACCTGTTAGGCAGCAGAACATAATCTTTTTGATGGGATTGGAGGAGGGGAGACTCGGTATTGAGTGGCAGTCTTGTAGAAGACCTAAATTTGGTTCCAAGCATCTATGTTAGGTAGCTCACAGCCACCTGTAATACCAGTTCCAGAGGATCCAGTGCCCTCCTCTGACTTCTGCAGGCCCCTGCAACTTACAGGCACATACAACCAAACACACACATATATAATTAAAAATAAAATTACTCTTATAAAAACCACATCTATCCTTTTGACCTTCAGATTTCATCTTCATGGATACAATTCATGTCTGCTTCTGAAATCTAGCTACATATTTCAGCTCTTGATTTTGCTGCCAAACAAGTTTTTTATGCATTCAAAATGAACATCCTCCTGTCTCTGTTGGTCTCATGGAAGAAGTGAGACCTTGGAAAACAGAAAGAATAAAAGATTTGCTGCCACTGAATCATTTGTCAAATTGCAGGCAGCTAGAGAAGACATCTAAGAAGCCCTTTGTCCCACAGTCCTGTACTTATACTGCCATTCCCTGCAGCAGTGACTATAGAACATGAAAGGCCTGCCTCACCTAAGCATGGGGAAGGACTTAGCCTTGACCAAGTACCCTTGGAACTTTAAATCTCACCTAGAAAAACATTTGCATGATAGAGAACAGCAGAAAGCAGAACTTAGAAAAACAAAGATATTCCTTTCATAGTAAGAAGAAAGCTATTGGCCTCTTTATCAGTTTTCCAGGCCCTATCTAGGTCTCCC